CCCCGCTCCGCGGCGGCGAGCGGAACGATCCCACCGGTCCCGCGCTTGCGCGCTCCAGCCCGACGGGGGTCGCGGTGCGCCTGCGCCCTGGTGGGTGGGCGCCTTCTCGACTAGAACTTTCCTTCAGGTTTTTGTCTCTCGCTTCCTGCGGCTCACTAGTCGGCGCTTGCGCTGGGGGTTCAGCCCTGAGGTGGGCGAGCGGTCGGGAGGGGCCCCCGTGGGCGCATGAAGGACACAAGGTTGAGGGCTTCCCCACCCGCCCTCGAGCGAGAAACAGAAGCCCCCACGAGAGGGCAGGGCCGCGGCCCCGGCCTGGGTAGGTCCCTGCCCTTCCCGAAGGGAAGCGAAGCCTGCAGAATACAGCGGCGGCCGTCCCCCACCTGCCCTCTCCCCTCCGCTGCGGGGTGTGCGCGCGCATGCTGGGGGGGGGGGCTGGTGTGCGCGCGTGGCAGCGGGTGTGTGTTGGAGGTGTGCGCGCAGGATGGCAGTTCGCAGTGGTTTGGGGTGGGAAAACACTGCAGAGGCTGTGCCCATAGCAAAGCGATGAGGTTGTCACAGACCAATGGTGACGGGGAGTAAAGCACTGACGGCAGATTGTGTTTCTTGCCCACAGATTGTCTAAAGCCACAGGGAAAATGGTGGAAAATTCACCGTCGCCATTGCCAGAAAGAGCGATTTATGGCTTTGTTCTTTTCCTAAGCTCCCAGTTTGGCTTCAGTAAGTACTTTGCTGAGGGATGGCCAGGGCCTTTGTCTGGCGTTCGAGAACAAGGAAATTACTGCGTTTGTTGTTGGAGCGTGCACACGTGCACTGTGATTCCTTGTATCTATGTCTCTTTTTAAGAGAACCTGAAGGGAGCCTGTGTTTAGGAAACCTGAGGGTTTTATGTGCCAGACACTAGCTTAAGAGATTTAGTCTCAACAAATATTTCTGCAGCACCAGGCAGGATTGCAAAGTGAATAAAACCTGGTCCCTGTGGACATGGTCTTGTGGGTGAGACAGGTAAATCTGCAGTTAACGCTCAGTGTGACAAGTGCCATGGGAGCCCAGTGAAGAGATGTGAAATCAAGCTGGGGAATCAGAGTTAGTTTTCCCCCCAACAATGGGAAGGCAGAAGTAGGAAGGCCCTGAGTGAAGGGTTTGGAAGTGGGTAATTTGGTTTGGAAGTGGGTAATTTGGTATGGCTCCAGTGCAGCCTGCGGGAGCCAGGGAGTGAAGGGAATTAGGCTGGAGAAGTCAGGTGGCCTTTACATCCCAGATCTTGCTCAGTCTCCGTAAGATCCCGTCTTACGGATAAGGAAACTGATGCTCACTGAGACACTAAGATGCCCGGAGTCACACAGCAGGCCCCACGTCTCTCCTCAAAAGGATTTGAGAATTATGAGGGAAATGAGAAGGAGAAAATTGGGTACCCACGGTCCAACTTTGTGGAATTTTGTGGAAATCGGGGAGGGGGACGCAGGGGAGTGGTAGTGCTTCTAAACCCTAAGTGCATCGGTGTAGCCAGCCAGGCTGTTAGCCAGGGGAGTCTGTGGAGTGAACCAGTTACAACTTGAGTTCGAATCCTGACTCCTCCACAGATTAGCTGTGTGATCTGGGGCCAGTTACTTAACCTCTTTGAGCCTTCAGATTCTTCCTCTGTAAAAGGGTGATGTTTCTTGAATGCTTATTAGGCACAAGGCAGTCTTGTGAGGTAGATATTGTTGCGTCTTCATTTTACAGATGAGAATACTGAGGCACACGAGGTTTAAGCAGCGTGCCCGAAGTCACACAGCCAGTAAATGAAGGAGCTAGAATTTGAACCCAGACACTGGGTTGACTTCACTCTGTTGCCTCTTGTGGCTGTGGTGAGGATTAATTACAGTAATTTATGCAAAACACTTAAAAAAATGCATAGGAACAATAGTACTTAAATGTTAGTGCTGTAGTTATCATCATCAACACCATTTTTGTAAATCCTTGTTTTATAGAGTATGAAGGATTAGAAACTATACAAATAAATAAAAGCAATGACTTTAAGACTTAAATCCACTAATACCCACAGCCAAAACTTTTTGAGTGCTTACCACCTGCCAGGCACTGTTATAGGCAAAGGAGAAGCAAAATAGCCAAAAACTTCCTGCTTTCATAGAGTTTTAATTCTTGTGGGGGGAGATAGCCAATGGACAAATTAAATAAGTAACACATGTACAATGTTGGATGATAACATGTACCATGGAGAGAAATTAAGCAAAAATGGAGAATAAGGAGTGGGAGGAGGTTGCTGTTTTAAATCCAGCAGTCTGGAAGTGCCTCAGTGAGAGATGAGGTTTAAGCACAAACGTGAGAAGTGAAAGCCATATGGCAGTCTGGGGAAAGAGCCTTCCAGAGGAGAATAGCCAGTACAGAAACCCTTAGGAAGAAGCATGCCTGTAGGTTCAAGAAACAGGTGGATGTCAGTAAGGTTGAAGCTTGAGGAAGTGAGGCAGAAAGTACTAGGATAGAGGAGGCCAGGACAGTACGTAGAACCAGGTGGTGGGTACAGGAGGGTTGCATGATTCTCTGTACATTGAGATATTTAGTGATTTAAAAACCAGGTAATTGTGTTAGTCTGCTCAGGCTGCTATAACAAAATACCATAGACAGGGTGGCTTAAACAGTAGATGTTTATTTCTCAGTTCTGGAAACTGGGAAATGCAAGATCAGGGTTCTTGGTGAACGTCTTCTGGCTGCAGACAGCCGCCTTCTTGCTGTGTTCTCACGTAGTGGAGAAATTGCGCACACAAGCTCTGGTCTCTTCCTTTTCTTATGAGGGTACTAATCCCATCATGGGGGCTCCACCCTTATGACTTCTTCTAAACCTAACTACCTCCCAAAGGCCCCACCTCCAAATACTGCCACATTGGGGATTAGGGCTTCAACATATGAATTTGAGGGGGAACACAAACATTCAGTCCATAACAGTGATTACAGCTTGTGAAAATAACTTTGAAGGAAATAAAGGGAAATGATAGAGAGTGATGAGGATGTGGTGCACGGGCCACAGTTGGAATAGCAAGTGATAGGGAAAGCCTCTCTTAAGAAGGTGACGTTTGAGCTAAGACAGGAAGGAAGAGAAGGAACCATCCATTGAAAGAGCCAAGGGAAGAAAGAGCCAAGTGAGCGCCGGCACTCACTACAAGTGCAGTAGCCCTGAGACACTGTCTGGAGCTGGAGCGTAGTGCGTGACCACTAGACATTGGAGAGGTGTGAGGGAGCCATGTCATTTAAGTCCTTGCAGGCCCTGGTAAGGAGTTTGGATTTTATTCTAAGGGCATTGAAGAATTCAAACAGGCAAGTGATATGGTCAGATTTATATTTTTGGAAGGTCACTCAATGCTGTGTGGAGAATGACTGCTCAAGTATTTTCTTTCTTCCAGGTTGAAATTACTAGACACCCACTCTGAAAACTCCCCCTAACTCGTTCATCCACTCTTGCCACCGAATCTGGTGGGGCCCCTTACTGCCTTGGCTAACCTCCTGCTCATCCTTTAGGTCCCAACTTTCCTCCAGGAAATCTTTCCTGACAATTAACACTGCCTCCATCACCACCAGTGGTGCTCCTACATCATCTTTTTGCTCCTATATCATCTTTTATTACTCGCTCATTAGCACTTATCACACTGTAGTGAAAATATCAATTTACTTGTCTCTACTCCTCACTAGATTTTAAGCTGAGGGAGGGCAGAGGCCTTCTCTTTTGGGTTCACTGTTGTATCTCATGCTCCTGACATACAGAATTCTATAATACATATTTGTTGAGAAAAATGTTAATCCTTCATCATCATCACTGATATAAGTAGTTTGAAATTTGTCTCTGCCACTTACCTAGGGTAGATGATGTAACATTTCTAAGATTCTGTTTCCTCATCTGTAAAAATGACATAATAACTCATAGGACTGTTTTGAGGATTACATGAAATAATGCATGTAAAGTGCTTTGAAGTGTGCTTACCCCACAGTGAGTGCTCAGAGGTTAGCTGTTTTTTCTACATAGGGACAATGGTAAAGGATGCCCCAAAGACTTGGATTGAAGGAAATAAGATTATGCTCTGAGAGATAAGGCAGAAGCCCACCATGTGGTAGATCAGAACAAGGGCTAATAAATTCACCTGTAAGCAACTAAATGTCTATAATTATTTCAACCCTGTGGGGATGAAGTGTTGAACTCCTACTATGCGTAAAGCAAATTGCTAGGTGCTATCAGGATTACAACAATTGCTAAGGCACAGTTTCTGCCTTTCAATGCTTAAAATACAGTATAAGTTAAGACATTTAAAAAAATGACTAATGGAGAAAAAGGGGAGTTGTTATTTAATGGGTATAGAATTTCAGATTTGCAAGATGAAAAAATTCTGAAGATTTGTTTCACAGCAATGCAAATATACTTAATATTACTGAACTGTACACTAAAAAATGGTTAAATTTTATTTTTTTACCACAATAAAAAGATAACTAATATAAAATAATTGTGATAAGTATTACAAGAATGATACAAATAAGGAGCTAGAAGAACGGAAAGGATGGAAAAATCATTTCTGAATAAGGGAATCCTCAAAGAAGCTTTTTTGTTTTATCTGAACCTTGATAGATTAAACGTATGCCTTACTGACTTTTTTCTTTTTTTTTTTTCCCTGTCTTCTATAGTACTATACCTTGTGTGGGCTTTTGTTCCTGAATCTTGGCTAAACTCCTTAGGCTTAACCTATTGGCCTCAAAAGTAAGTTTAATGGATTTCTTAAATAAAATAAGAGTATATTAATGCTGCTTTGAAGGATCAGATTTTTCCTTAAGACTACCCAAATTTTAAATATTTATTCTTTTAAGATCCATAAATAACCATATAGAAATTTAAAGCTTTTTAAAGATCATTACTGATATACCTCTTAATTAAAGATAGTGGGGTGAACACACATCTTTATCTCCATTTCCTTCCAACATCTTGCTAAAATGACACCACAGAAAAAAATGTGTAAACCCACGGGAACAAATAATGGAATTGTAGATAAGAAGTGTCAACAACATTTTGGAAAGTGGATTGCAGACAGGTGAGAGGTGACTGACTTAGTTTCCCCCTTTTCCGCATTGCTAAAGGAGAGAAGCCAACAAGAATATTTGTGCCCTAGTATTCCAGAAAGGCTCAGATATTGGAGGTACCTCTGTAACATGGTAATTCTGGGTTGGGCTGAAAACAGTGTTTAAAGAGCATTAGACTAAAATCCCCCTGCTCAGCCCTCAAAACTAGGAGACCAGCTCTCCCCTGTAAAAGACAAGCGTTTTACTCTCTGGAAAGGTTGAAGGAGAGTCTCTAGCCTGGGGACACTAGGTCTAAATGAGTGTGGAAATGAGGCACCTTACTGAAAATGGGAGTAAGTACAGATCTGCTGAATGATAGGATTCCCCCCAAACACCTTCCCTTGCTGGGCTCTCAGACTTGTGGTTGCCAGGCTTATACCTACTTCTCCCAGCGAAAGAGAGAGGTTCCTCCCTGAGGACGTTGGCCAGCCCAAGAGAAAGGCTCTCTAATTTCTGACATTGGGAGGTCCTCCAGTGAATGGCCAGGTCTCCGACAGTGCGGCTCACCACTTGGCCGTCCTGCCCACGTGTACACAATGCTTCCAATTAGCTTGTTAAGCACTTCATTTTTAAAATATGAATGGACAGCCATAACTTACCAGACATTAAAAGAAAGCCTCTAAAATGGAATACAAAAGAGAAAAGCAAAAAAGGGAACTTGAAGGAAATGAAGATAATGCAAGGAACAGAATAAAATTTTAAAATAAAATCCTTAGATAAGAAAAGATTATAACTATGAAACAACAGAATGCTATAAAAAGAGGAACGTTCAGAGAATTACTGTATTTAGAAATTATAAGTATGATAGCCAAAATGAAAATTTTAATGAAGGGTGAGAAGATAAACCAAAGGTAATCTCCAGAAAGTAGAACAGGGCCAGCCCCAGTGGCCTAGTGGTTAAGTTCAATGCGCTCCGCTTCAGCAGCCTGGGTTCAGTTCCTGGGCACAGACCTACACCACTCATCTGTCAGTGGTCATGCTGTGGCAGCGGCTCACATACGGGAAAAAAAAAAAAAGGAAGATTAGCAGCAGGTGTTAGCTCAGGGCGAATCTTCTGCAGCAAAAAAAAAAAAGTAGAACAAAAGACAACAAAATGGCAAATAGAGAAAAGATGAGCAAAGTATAACAAGGCAAAAAATCTAACTCTTAAAAGTTCCAGAAAGAGAAAACAGTAAGGAGGAAATTATTAAAGAAACAATGCACCCATTAAAACATCCAGCATAGAGCACTTGATGTGCTTAACTGTACTGGGAGGCGTATTAGAGTCTTGTCAGAGAATTTGAGGACTGAGTATTGATAGGTACATGGGAAACCAAGCAAACAGACAAAAGGATGTAATTACTAAATCCAAGAAAGCAAAAAATTGTACAAGGAAACATAGTAATAATAATATACCAAGGTGCACATTATTTATATAGTCAATAATTTTTAAAAACTACTGCAAAGACCAGAAATTGTAATGTAAGTATAGTAAGAGGATAGGAAGAAGGTGAGAGGGCAGGGTGTAAAAGAGCAAATTCCTCATCTCCGTATTTGGTAGTCCACAGAAAATGTCTGAAATTGAAAAGAATTAAGAAATAATAATATGAGTACATTGTATAGAAATGCAGAAGTAAATACCAGAAGAAACAGCTCAGGTGCTAGAAGTGTTTCCTTTTGGAGAGTAAGACTCCAGGGTCGGGACAGGTGGGATTACATGATTGCAGCTTTTCATTATAGGCCTTGTAGAACTATCTGACTGTCTTTTATGTGCATGTATTACTTTAATAAAAATGAAAATGAAATTTTAAAAGTGTGTTAACTTGGTGATGGACTCTTGAGAATTACAACTTTTTAGGAAGTCTGTTACTTACTTTAATATTCTCTTCTGCAGATACTGGGCGGTTGCGTTGCCTGTCTACCTCCTCATTACTATAGTCATCGGTTATGTACTCTTATTCGGAATAAACATGATGAGTACCTCTCCACTCAACTCCATTCACACAATCACAGGTAAATGTATGTAAAAGGAAGTGCTGGGGGATGGAAGAGTGAGGTATCAGCACTTTTATCAAGAAAAGCAACCAAGAATAGGCTGCACTAGGTGACACACATTGGCACTAGGGGAAATAAATACAAAGTTATAACAGTGGAAATGTTTACATGGCAGAAATAGGTTCTGATGAATATGCT